TTTACATTCGCAACGACCAAGAGGAAACCCTCTCGGTCGTTGAGGTGTACACCCTCAATGGCCGAGAGGTTTCACTCGGCCGTTGAGGGGGCCGGACTGAATCTGGCAACACAAAGTACAGCATAAATCCATAATGAAGACTTCAATCCCAGCGTATCTGTTACAAACAGTGTAGATCAGAACAGCCATAGCACCAACGGTCAGATATTCCAGCTTTTTGGCCTTTGTTCGGCCAGCGGGTGTACTTCACTACTTACCGGTGTGGTAAGCCACTCCTGAAAATTCAAAGTTATCAAGAGCACAAATCACAGGAGAATCACACAATCAAGACACCCCAGAAAGCTCCCCAGACCCCCAAAACAAATCATGAATCCCCTCAAGCACAGACCACATGGATAATAATATTTCCCAGCAGAAACTCCACAGCCTTGAAACTCACTCCCCTCCAAACATATTCCATTCTTCTTTCCCCTTGTGTCTCACACTAGTAAAGATCCCCTTGGCCATGAAACAGTCATTTCCTCCTATCTCCTTCCATGGAATATTCCACCCCTTATTTGTTTCATACTAGTAACCTTGGGAGCATTTTCCCACTGCTTGTTTCCCCTGTCTCTATGGATAAATATTTTCCCTTGTTTCATGCTCTCATAGAATGTTCCATTTATCTTCCAACCACAAGCTGGCCACTCCCCAGAGTTTTGTATATAAGGAGCTTTGTTTTTCCTCTTCATTTGTTCCTCATCAGATCCTGCCCCAGCAATTCAGATAACTGATCACCCATTATTAGCCAGGTATTTGCCCATCAACATTTGGGATACCTTTATTTGTGAACCAGTATATTTAGACTAGTAAACATAAGACATATTAGACATACCATCCTCAAGAAATCTCCAAAGCCACACCTTTCCTTAAGAGTCCATACTCTTATATTTTCTTGTTATCAGAGAGGCAGCCCATTAAAGCACTCATCCCTCTCAAGCTCTATTCCTCCCAAGAGTAGTTCCACAAGTGGTGTCCCAACAGTGGCCCAACAGATCTTTGGTTTTCAGTCACTACCACTCACAGTTTCCATGCTAAATATACAGTCACAGATTAGCTAGTTACTACCAACCCTATTTTAATTCAACATTTATTTACCTTATTATCCCCTGCAGAAATCTTCATTGGTAAATCTGCATTAACAACATAGGATTAGATCAACAGCAAAGTTATCATAACAGTAGAAAACTTAACAACTCCCTCACCCCCATCAAGAAGAAAATCAAACCCCAGAACCCCCATCACAACAAACATGGCCAACCACCCTGGAGGAAGAAGAAAGATAGTCAAAATCAAACCCTTGGACAGGAACCTTGGTTATGATGGTTCCAACATGCCTATAGAAGAATTCATCAGCAAATATGAAGAAGCTGCAGAAACTGTTGGAGCAAGCTCTCAAGATTTGGCCAGCCAGATATTGTTCTTTATCAGGGGACCAGACCTGCAAGATGAAGTGGAAGAAATGCATGGATATGAAGAATGCAATTGGGTCAACTTGAAGGAAGAATTAACGTATAGATTTGGAATTACTCTCACCCTGGAAGAATGTTCTAGAGAGGAATTGGTAGATCTGGTCAGCTATGTTGCAAACATGGGTGGCATCAGAACTCCAGAACCATTCAGACAATTCATATTGCAATTTGAACACATTGCTCACTACCTAATTGAAAATGGATACAATTCCTCCATGGATGAATTTGCAAAATTATTTTGGCAATCCCTCAGCCCAGAATTGGAAAGAGCCATATCTGATCCACTTATCTGGGATTGTCACTTGGTTCTGGATGAAAATTTTCACATTGCAGAAATACCATCCTATGGTGTTATTCTGGAGTATATTGACAGGGAGTTCAACAAACTGGACAAAATACAGGAAGATTGTGATCAACCTGCACAAGAAATTGGACAAAACAATCCGTATCAATTCCCCCAATGGTCCATGGAACATTTTAACTCAGAATTCCAGTCACCACTTACAGAAACTTCTACCCCAGTACTTTCTTCAAATTTGGATGCCTTCCCCCTGACCTTAGAAAATGGCCAATCCCTGGAAACCTTGGAACCCTTGGACAACACAGAGACAAAACAATTTGGATCAGAAACAGAAGTCATTTCAGCAAAAATTCCCTCAGAAATATCCTTACCATATGCCATTATTGAAGAAAATTGCTCCCCAGTAGCACCTGTAACCTTGGAATTTCCCCCCCAGATACTTGAAATTTGCAAGAAGTTGGACCCCTTCGATAGAAATCAATCAGCATATCTTGGATCAGAGAGTGAAACATGTGCAGAAAATATAGATAACTTACCAGTAGGACCAGTCAATTTGGAATCTTCCCCTCAGCTCATTGCTAATGACCAACCACTGGCAACTTTGGAACCCTGGAGCATTACTGAAACAGAATACCTTGGATCAGAAAGTGCAATTTTTGCAGAACCCATTTCCCCAGAGGAAACTTTTCCAGTATACCAAGTTGAAAAGACACCAGTTAATCCTATTCCTGAATCTCAAAACCCCCTGCAAATCCTGATGGAAGATAAAAATGAGGAAAAATTTAGTCAGAGTATAAAACCAGAGGATGTATCAGTCTTGGATTCAGTACAGTCAATTCAGTCCCCCACAATAAACTCAACAAGGTTTGCACCTGAAGGAATTGGAACCCCAGAAGAACCCATTTCAAACATTGCACCCAACTTATCTCTAGAAATTGATTATACTCCCAATTCACAATTGAATTCCATGGAGAACCTTGTTGCAGAACCTCTCTTCAAAGATTCCATAGATGGATTTTTCTCCCAGAAACCAGTTTTTATTCCTTCAAAGCAAGTATTTGATCCTCAGAGAAACTTCAACAAAACATTAGGAACCTATAACAAAGAAACAGACCCTGGAGAAGCAACAGAAATGATTCCTCAATCAGCTTCCATCACAAAAATTCTCACAGAAAGTGTTTCTCCTACAACTCACCAAGTACCTCCCCACCAACAGGAATTGCCACCCTCCAAGGCCCCTGATAACAGCCAAATATTTCTTCAACCCCCTTGGATTAGCTCTGGGAAGACTGGAACAAGAAACATTGCAAATTTCAAAAAGAAAAGGATCAAGTCAAACAGCATAAATCATGCCTTTTCAGTACCCAATTTTTTCCCATCTTCCTTGGATAAACTAGCAAAAGATAACTTACAGTACATCTGGTTCCGTGACAGGATTAAAAGGAAGGAGCTCTCAAATCTTCATGTGCCTCAAACTTCAGCCAGGAATAAATCTAAAGGAAATTTGAAAAGAAAGAAGACAAGAATTAGATTTGGTAGACATACTGCAGTAATCATAGTATCAGAAAGCAAACCATCATCTGGTCTCTTTGAAACCCAGAAACAGGCCATAGATGCTGGAGCGACCAGTTTCGCGTCGCTGGCTTTGGATGATTTGGATCGGAGCTTAACGGAGAAGAAAACACTCAGAAGGTGTAGCTATAAGATAGTTCTTCTTGTCAGGATAGCAGGATACACACCATCGATCCACCCTGATTTGCCTAAACCGGATACTATAGGCATTGAAGCGACCAATTTTGCTTCGCTGAGCTTTGCTCGTTCAGTTTGGAATGCTAGCAAAAAGCGGAAGAAGATATTGATCAGCAACGTTTCGCGCTGGATGGTTCAGAGAAGCAAGAAAAGGGGACAATCGATCTTGCCAAAGTACATGTTGAAAAGTTTTGATTGCAGTCGGAAACTCACCAGGGAGTCAAGCGCGATAGTTGTTTCTATTCGATTCAAGTATCAGGACAGAAAAACCAAGGAAAAGCGGTTGGATCTGTTGCATCGCAGTTGGAAGTTTGTAAGGATTTTGGAGACTGTAGCACTTCCAGTTCGATCGAAGAAAGAAACAATAAACAAAGGGTGGGTTTTGCCAATGAATAGCTCTAAACATTCGATTTGGAGACGGATCAGTGTGAAAATACCAGCCAGTATTGGAGCTTTAGATCAATCGGAGGACATACCAGAGTCAATGGTAGTAGCATTCAGGAATTCATTTAAACGGTATTGGCATTGTTGGGAGTTGGACTGGGAAGGAAGGGTTGGTTGGAATCAGGAAAGAGATGATGTCAAGCACCTCAGCGGACTATTTTACCCAGGTGTCGAGCATGTTTTAAGATCTCACATAGCGACTAAAGTCAAGGGGTATATAATGGTACAGACAACAAGAAACAAAGAACTTGAAGGCTTGTTCTCATGGAACCTTACGGAGGAGGCTTTCAACTTGTCTCATCAACTCAACACCGATTTCAACCCCATTGTGTTGGCTATGGATACCAGCAATCTCAATCAGATGATGACAAGGCCTGTTTCAACTCTGCAATACTAGTCAGGCTCATTTTCCAATTGGACTCAACTTTTCTCTAGACTCTTGAAGGTAGGACTACATATCCTTCAACTTCAAAGCATGACAAATCAGGAGAAATCTGAATCAAGACAGCTGAAATGGAAGAAAAATAAAATAGGAACTTGTATTTTTCAAAAAAAAAAAAAAAAAAAAAAAAAAAAAGAGGGAGAGAGAAGGGAAGAGAATTTTAAATTTTTAATGAAACTCAAGGCTAATCTGACTCAATCCTGTTAAACCCTGAAGCACCCCTCAAAAGTCCAAAATTTGGGGGTGGATGCCCCTTCTCTTTTTCCTCAAGACACTTTATTACTCTTCTAAAAAGCCCAAAAATAAAAACTTCTTACCTACCTTCTCCAGACATTCCCAGAACACCTTCACCTCTAATTTGGGGGTGGTTAAAACCCAATTTATTGCTTCTTCTCCTTAGTCTTATTTCTAATTTTTCTCACATCAGTCTTCTACCTTTTATAATTCCCTGGGCTACATGAAGAAACAAGATATCAGAACCTTTCATAAATAATTGATGAATGAAAATAAAATAAAATTATAAAAAAATCATTACATAAGATAAAAGTACAAAAACGATTTCTCTACATATACAAACCATAGATTTTTTGTTTCTTTCTTTTTTTTTCACTACCTCTGATCATGAATTTCCACAGTTATGACCAGTTTCTTTATCTAGGATATATTTTTTTCAGAATTTTCAGGAGTTTCTTTTCTTTATTTTTCTTTCTGGATGATGGGGACATCATCTAATTTGGGGGTGGATGTGGTAAGCCACTCCTGAAAATTCAAAGTTATCAAGAGTACAAATCACACAAGAATCACAGGATCAAGACCCCTCAGGAATTTCCCAGGCACTCAAACCAATCCAGACACCAGTCATGAATCCCCTCAAACACAGACCACATGGATAATAATATTTCCCAGCCAGAAACTCCCCACTCCTGAAACTTACTCCCCTCCAAACAATTCCATTCTTCCTCCCCCTTGTGTCTCACGCTAGTAACAATCCCCCTGATCCATGAAACAGTTATTTCCTCCTATCTCCTTCCATGGAATATTCCCCCCTCATTTGTTTCATACTAGTACCCTTGGGAGCATTTTCCCACTGCTTGTTTCCCCTGTTTTCTCTGGATAAATATTTTCCCTTATTTCATGCTCTCATAGAATGTTCCATTTATCTTCCAACCACAAGCTGGCCACTCCCCAGAATTTTGTATATAAGGAGCTTTGTTTTTCCTCTTCAATTGTTCCTCATCAGATCCTGCCCCAGCAATTCAGATAACTGATCACCCATTATTAGCCAGGTATTTGCCCATCAACATTTGGGATACCTTGATTTGTGAACCAGTATATTTAGACTAGTAAACATAAGACATATTAGACATACCATCCTCAAGAAATCTCCAAAGCCACGCCTTTCCTTAAGAGCCCATACTCTTATATTTTCTTGTTATCAGAGAGGCAGCCCAATAAAGCACTCATCCCTCTCAAGCTCTATTCCTCCCAAGAGTAGTTCCACAAGTGGTGTCCCAACAGTGGCTTAACAGATCTTTGGTTTTTAGTCACTACCACTTACAAATTACTAGACTACATATAGACAAGACACAGATTAGCTAGTTATTACCCAACACAGTAGAAATAGAAATAACATACCTTATTTATCTTTACTACTCACTCAACCTTCACCATGAATTTTCCACCAAGAAGAAACTCTCTGTCTGGACCTGCCATCAACATGGCCAATTTGGTTATCCCAGCTTGGAGAGGACAAATCTTACCCCCTCAACTACCTCCTCACCAGTACTATAACCCTGGAACCACCTTCTACCAACCACCTGCCCATAATCCAGCCTTTAATCCTGGACCAATGAGAAACCACCAACCCTCTGAAAGTGATGACCTGGACCCCTTGGAAACTCAAGAACCCCTGTACCCCCAAGGAACACCCAGTCAGCAAACAGTACCAGCACCACCAGTAAGAAACACTGCAAACCAACCCACTCACCCTCTGGAACCCAAGAAACCTACCCCCATCCACTTCTTGGAAAGAGAACCAGAAATGCCCAAATACTCTGGAGGAAGAAAAACCATCAAGATCAAACCCTTGGATAAAGACCTCTGCTTTGATGGTACCAATATGCCCATTGAAAAATTCATCAAGAGATATGAGGCTGCTGGGGAAACAGATGGAGCAACCCCCCAGGATTTGGCCAGACAAATTATCCCCTTTATCAAAGGATTGGACCTAAAGGATGAAGTGGAGGAGATGTCAGGATATGAAGACTCTAATTGGGAGAAACTGAAGAAACAACTACTCAACAGATTTGGATCTTCCCTTCCCCTAGTCAAATACACCAGACATGACCTTAAACACCTGGTAAATTCTGCCATCAAAGGAGGAGGAATCAAGACCCTGGAGCACTTTAAAATCTTTAGGACCAAATTTGAAGCCATCACTCACTATTTGGTCAGGATGGGATACAGTTCCAACTTGGAGGAATCCAGAGAATGCTTGTTGGAATCCCTCAGCCCAGATCTGGAATCTTCAGTAACCAGAGAACTCATCAGAGACAACATGATGTTGGCCTCCAAGGATGGTGGGGACATTTTACCAGATACTGAAACCTTAGTCAGTTATATCCACAGAGAAGTCCAGTCTGCCTCTATTATGGAAAGAAGAAAAGTCTGGAGAGGAATAGAGCAAAACAATTCAGCAAAACCCCCAGCCCAGAAAACCCAGGACCAGAAAGCTGTGGAAGATCTCACCAAGACCTTGGCCAGCTGGCACACTCAGAAATCCAACCCCTTAATTTCCAAAAGCCATGTTCCCTACAAACCTGCCCAATTGGAAAAAGACTGGAGTACTGTCAAGTGTAATTATTGCCATGGACTAGGCCACACTTTCCACAGATGTAACATGGCCAATGAGGATGAGCTAAAAGGACTCTTCAAGAAGGATGGACCCAATGTAATTCTACCAGATGGATCTCAAGTTCAATGGCAGAAAAACAAGGCCTTCAAATCAGCTGTGGACCACTTTCACCTAGCTCAGAAACAGCCTGGAATTCTCAACTTACCCCAAGGAGCCCTAAATAAGTCTGCAGAAATTTCCATGGACCCCCAGACCTCTTTTGGAAAATTGGAAGAAATGGACCAAGAAGAGGAATCCACCTATGAATGTGAAGCTGTAAAAAGGACCAGAAGTGGAAAGGAATATCCAGAGGAAACCTCAGTCAGCAAAAGGGTCAGAAAAGAAAAAGAGGACCTAATGGATGTAGACAGGGACAGACTCCAAGAAATTGCCAGACAGGATGACTACAACCCAGTAATCCTTCCACCTTCTTCCACCAAGGAAAATCCCCCACCAAAGAAGGTCCAAATCCAGGAACCTGAAAGCACCACCATACCAGCTACCAAGGAAAAAGCCCTAAGAAAACCTATGTGGAGAGACCTCTAACCAGCCAATTTCCAGATGCAGAAGACAAAGTGGTCAGCAGGATGTTAATGGATGGTAAAATGGAACTTTCCTATGGAGAAATTTTTGCAATTTCTAATGGAACTGTTGAAGCTTTCAAGAAAAAGATTACCCCAAAAAGGATTCCAGTGGACTCCACCAAATCTACCAACTCTGGAGGAATTGACCAGGATGGAGAAGAAGATGAAGAATCCCAGGAAGAACCCAGCCATTATGCCTGCCCCCTAGGATATATTGATGTCAGTATCAATGGGAAGTCATTTCAAGCCCTCTTGGATAATGGATCACAAGTCAACTTACTCCCCAGGGACCTTGCAGCAAGAATGGGCCTCATAATCACCCAAAGAGCCATGAATCTTAAAGGAATTGGTGGCCACAAGAATGAAATTCTAGGAGTAGCTGAAAATGTACCTGTAAAAGTGGGTCACATCACCAGAGGAATACATTTTTATGTTTCTGCAGGAGAAGTTCAACCTATTTTGGGCAAACCATGGCTCATAGATGTGTCAGCAACCATCAAATTTCACCAACATGGAGCAGAATCCTTGGCAATTCAGAAGTCAGGCAAAACTTACTTGGTACCCATACATAATCCAACCAATCAGAAATGGGAGAAAGATTTTCCTGTCCACACAGCCACTACTTCAAGTCATTTTTTAGTGTCTGGCACCTCCCACAAGTGAAGTCTTGGGAGGTGCCTAATAAAAAAGAGGAGGATAAATTAGTATATGCTGCAAAATATAAATCAACTACAAAAAAAAATAAAACCAGTTAATGAACCTATGCCTCAGAATCTCAACTCACCTTTATGCAATCCCCCTTTACCAAGAGACCCTTACAAAACCCCCTTAACCCCCTTCCCACCTGAATTTACCCCCACCTGGAAAATAACTGAAGAAAGGTTGAAGGTTGTCAATTTTGGACCCCCTGGATGGCTTTGGCCAGAAGAACTGAAACTCCTCAAGCATGTCATCAAGCTCAGACAAGGAGGACTGGCCTTTTGTGAAGAAGAAAGAGGACTTCTGAAGCATACCTATGGAAAACCCTACATTATCCCAGTGATCAAGCATGACCCTTGGCAACAAAGGCCCATCCCAATACCTGCAGCCATCAAGAACCAATTCATAGAGTTAGTAAGGGAAAGACTCAAGACTGGCCTCTATGAACAATCCTGCTCAAGTTATTCCAGCCCAGTATTTTGTGTCAAAAAGCAAGATGGAAAGTTAAGAGTGGTCCATGACTTACAAAGGCTCAACAAAGTCACCATCAAAGACTCTGGACTTCCACCAAATCCTGAAGAACTCATTGAATCTTTCACTGGAAGGGCCTGCTATGGCCTGGGTGATATAATGGGAGGATATGATGAAAGAGAATTAGCCCTGGAATCTAGACCCCTCACCACCTTTGAAACCCCCCTTGGCAGATTTCAACTCACCAGATTACCCCAAGGAGCCACCAATTCTGTGGCAGTCTACCAAGCCCAAATGATGTGGATACTCCAGGATGAAATACCAAACAATGTGGGCATTTTTATTGATGATGGAGGGATTAAAGGCCCTGTTTCAGACTATAATCAAGAAACCTTGGAAGAAAATTCAGGAATCAGAAGATTTATTTGGGAATATGCCATTACTCTGGAAAGGATCTTATTCAGAATAGAAGAAGCTGGACTCACCATCTCTGGAAAGAAATTTGCCTGTTGTGTACCTGCCTTGGACCTTGTAGGACATGTGTTATGCAAAGAAGGAAGAAAAATTGCCCAGAAACAACTCAACAAGGTGGAAAGCTGGCCAATCCCTGACAACCCCACAGATGTCAGAGGATTTCTTGGAGTCTGTGTTTATGTCAGAATGTTTATTCCTGGACTTTCAGAACTTGCTTCACCCCTCAGAAGGCTCACATGGAAGGACTCAGAATGGAAATGGAAGCAGGCTTGCCAGGATGCATTTGAAAAACTGAAGAAACTGGTGGGCTATGATATTACTCTAAAAAAATTGGACTATTCTGAGGAAGCAGGAGCAATAAAATTAGCTGTGGATTCAAGTCATATAGCAGCTGGAGCAGTACTCACACAAGAAGATGAAGGCCTGGACAGACCTGTTCTTTATGAATCAGTGGTATTCTCCCCAACAGAATCCAAATATTCCCAGTCCAAATTGGAGCTTTGTGGAGTCACCAAGGTCCTCAAGAAACTACAAACTCAATTATGGGGCCAACATTTTGAATTATTAGTGGACGCCAAAAGTCTAATAGAAATGATCAACTCACCCAGCCTTCCAAATGCTCCCATGACAAGATGGGTAGCCTTTATCCAACTATTTTCTTTTACCATGAAGCATGTCCCTGGAAAAACTTTCACAATGCCAGATGGACTATCCAGAAGAACCCCTGACCCTGGAGAAATTGGAACAGATTTTGATGAAGAAGAAAAATGGATCAAACCTCACCCTGGCTTTGGACTAAAAGAGGTCAACATGGCAAATTTGGGGGTGGAACCCACTCACAGCAACCAAATTGGAGTCTGGAAACACCTTCAATATTACTTGGAAACCCTCAACAGGCCCTCTGAATGTTCAGACAAGGATTGGAGTATTATGAAACATAAGTCAGCAATGTTTTTTATGTCAGAAGGCCACTTAAAAAGAAGAAACAAACCCTTTCCCCAGGTTGTGGTAACCTCTCAAGACCTCCAGAAAACAGTTCTCAAGACCCTCCATGAAGAGTTGGGCCACAGAGGCATGGATGAAACCTACAGAAGAGCCAAACTCAGATTTTGGTGGCCAAATATGAAGAGAGCTGTCAAGAAATGGGTTCAATCCTGCTTAGCCTGTCAGAAAAGAAGCTCAGCAAAACCTTTGAAACTCAAGAAGGCTACTGGAATCCCCAAAATCTTTGGAAGAGGAAGCCTGGACACCATTCACATCAAAGCAGGAAGGTGGAAATACCTTGTTGTGGCCAGGGATGATCTCTCAGGATGGGTGGAAGCTGTAGGCCTGGAGCAAATCAAAGCCAAGAAAATCTCAGAATGGTTTATGGAAAATTGGATCCACAAGTATGGAGTCCCCTTGACAGTTGTTGTTGATGGTGGCCCAGAATTTGGCCAAGAACTCCAAAAATCCCTCACTGAAGCAGGTGCCAAGGTCAAAGTCACTACACCCTACTACCCTGAAGCAAATGGAATGGTGGAAAGAGGACATCAGCCCCTGAATACTTCAGTCAAACTCTGTGAAACAGATGGAAAAAAATGGAGGAATTACTTACCACTAGTACTCTTTGCAGACAGAATTTCCACCAAAAGGACCACAGGATATTCCCCTTATGAATTAATCTTTGGACAACCTGCCATCTTGCCTGTGGACTTAGAGTTGGAAACTTACCTGGGAACTGATTGGACCAAAATTAAATCAACAACAGAATTATTGTCAGCAAGAGTCCTCCAGTTGGAAAGAAGAGAAGAAGTCCTGCAAGATGCTTACAAGAAGATGAAGGAGGCCAGATCCCAATCCTTGGAGCCAATGAACCAGAAAAAATCCCTCAGAAACCCTCTCAATCCTGGCCAGTTGGTGTTAGTTTATAATAAGAGTCTGGACTCCCAGTGGGGCAAACTGTTTGAAAACAGGTGGAATGGCCCTTATAAAATTACCAAGCAAGAAGAAGGAGGCTCCTATGCACTAGAAGAATTGGATGGCACTGAACTCAAAAGAAGATATGCTGCTTCTCAGGTCAAACCTTTTTTTTCCAGGGAATAAGTTTTTTTTCCTTTTGTTTCTGTATTTCTAAAAAAAAATATTTCTTCAAAAACAACCAAAAGGAACAAAAAAAAAAAAAAAAAAAAAAATTCCTGAAAAAGTCTTGAAAAATCCTTGAAAAAAATCCTTGAAAAATCCCTAAAAAAAAAAAAAAAAAAAAAAAAAAAAAAAAAAAAGATCAGAATCAAGTTTTTCAAACTTTTTATACATATATACCAGAAGGACATTTTCTTTACTTACTTATTCAATAACTGTCATTTGCACTTGGTCCACGGTTTCAAGTACACGATCAAGCTCCCCCATAACACTCTCGTACAACCAACATCGCGCCAAACGCCTATACCCGCCGCTGCACCGCGGGTGATTGAGGACATCACCATCCAGTAGCTGGAAATAAGAACGGAAAAAGTCCTTGATATGTCGACGTGCATTCAGGACAGCATCTTCTTGAACGACCTCGGCCCAGATTGGACCCCGTTCTTCAGGGGTTAGTTCGTGATCAGGATCGGGGTGAGGCGGATAGACGTAGCAGGGCTCGGCCGGAGGAGGAGTGTCGACGCGGATGGGAGAAGAAGCGGTGCCACTTCCTAAGGATTCAGAAGAGATGGGAGGCGACGGTGATCTTGCGTATGTCTCCTGAACATTAAAAGGGAACTGGCCGTCGGAGTTCACCTGAAAAGCCGCGGCGATGGCAAACAACCGAATGTCGGAAAAAGAGGGAGGAGGAGGACGAGGTGCCGGAACGTGGTCCTCGACTCTTCTACGGGTATCTACAGGGGAATCAGGCGCAGGACTTTCGGTCTCTTCAACCTTGATCGCAGGGTCGGATTCAAGAGGAGCGGTAACTTCCTCGTCAGGCATGGTAGATTCGTCAGAAGCCAAAGAATAAGGAGATAGGGGTTGGCCGACTAAGCGCTCGGGGATCTCGAAGTAGGAAGACATGTGTGAATGATAAGTTGTCGACGGATCCCAACTCAAGCAGGAGGACGCCTTTTATAAGCACGGACCCAAAGCTCGGGATATCAGGTGCCGGCAAAGCAGTTCAGCCGAAGCAGAGGAAACCCGTACGTTACTAGCAAGCCGCCGGCGCTGCTGGGGCTGAAACTGAAGATGCATACCGGTAGTCGAGATACGATCTGGTATCTACGGACTACAAAAAGGGAGGTACCGACAAGAGGCGCTAATCTCCGAGTGAGACAAACGCCAGTAGCAGATAACCAAGAAGACAAAAAGCCCCGCCAACATAGCGTCACCTGAAACGAAGAGGACATCAAGAGAATCGCCGCCCACCGGCGTGATAAAATAGGACTAGGGAGGACGATGGGCTCTAGCCACTACACATCGCCATCATGAGTTCCCCCGTAGTCGTGTACGAAGACGATGCCAGCTACTGTTCTCAACACCGCAACGAGTCATCCAGGATTGTTAGTGTACTCAACCTTGCTCTGGGAACCTCCGAAGAGGACGTGAGGGCCGCCTTTTGCGAGTTCGGGAGGATTCAACATTGTTTCGTACCGCTATCCGCACCAACAACGGCTATAGTAGTCTTTTCGACCGTCACCGAAGCCATAGCCAGCATGAGGAGTATGGACGGCGCTATCGCCGATGAGAAGCAAATCTGCGTGCGAAGGAAGGCCGTCGTGGCACGAGGTGGACTAGCATTACTATTAAGGATATCCTAAAGCCATTTACTGCTCTACACCCATTACCCCCCCTACTGCAGAAACTCCTACACCCCTTCTTCACCTCTAATTTGGGGGTGGTTAGACCCCAGGTTATTCATTCTCCCCCTTAGTTTTGTTCCAATTTTTTTCACACTAGCCTTCTACCTTTTATCATTCCTGGGCCACATGAAGAAACAAGCCTTCAAAATCTTTTGTAAATAATTGGTGGATCAAAATAAAACAAAACAAAAATATAAAAATCATTACATAAGAAAAAAATACAAAAACAATTCCTTCATATATACAACCATAGATTTGTTTTTTTTCCCTTTTTTGGCACTATTTCTAAATCATGAATTTCCACAGTTATGACCAGGTTCTTTTCTTTTTTTTAGAATATATTTTTTTCTTCAGAATTTTCAGGA